TAAGTTATTACAAAATTAAATGAAAAACGTGATAAACCTGTAGAAAACAAACCTGATGACACTGTTTACTTAAAGACTAAAGACAAATTTACTTCAAAAACTAAACCGATATATAAAGAAACCCAAATAGTACCTGACAAAGACCATTTAGTAATAACAAAAGCAGGCACATACCATAAAAATTTAATAAAGAAACCTAGAAAGATACTAAAAGAGTCTTCTCCGCCGCAAGTCACTGACGATGACGATTTTGAGGACTACATTACTACTTACCGCATTCAGCTTGCTCCTGAAAAAGAGCCAGACGAGTAACCCAATGTTCCAGACAATAACAAACCCTATTTTACCCATTCAACTTGGACCCGTAAATCAGATTGAATCAAGTCATAAATTTATTTACCAAATAGACATTTCTTAGATCTCAGACCAATTAAACAAATTATATCAATGTTTTGAAAATCTTTAAGTCAACAACTAATGATGAATCATTCCCTCATGTTAATTACACCTTAAACAAAATCGCATTAAAATTAGACCCTTTAATTCTGAATAAAAATCATAAAAGAGGATTAATAGATGGCATAGGTAAAATTTCAAAATATCTCTTCGGTACATTGACGGAAGATGATAAATCAGAAATAATGAAACAACTAACAATTTTAAATAAAAATCAACATAATATCGAGACACAAATGGACTTCCAATTATCAATTCTTCAACCACTTTTAAAAACTTTTAATGAAACAATTTCAACCTTATCTACTAATCAAAATAAAATTTCCACAGAAATTAAAATGATAAAACAAAATTTTGGAATTGAAAATATTAGGTTCATCAGTCAACAAATTAATAATTGTAATTCTCTTTTAACTCTGATGAAATATACATTGCAATATTCTTTTCCGCGCTAAGAACAGTTTATAATCCAACTATTACCTTTAATGAAGTTAGATTTATGAAAAATACGCTTTTTCAACTTTATGATAAATCAAAATTATTAAATTTAGAAAGTGACATCGTATTTTAAACTGATACATCAAGATGTTTTCTTTAAATATCCAAATTTCAATTTTGTTATTACTTTACCGTTGTTATCAAATGAAAATACATATCTGTACAAACTTTATCCGATCCCACAAAATAACCTTACCTTAATTCCTCCCAAACCTATAATATTGCTTGGCGAAGGAAATCAAAAATACTTAGATAAAGAATGCCCTCTAGTAGAACAAGATTGCATTTCCATGATTGTCCAGGGTCGACAACCTTCAAATTGCTAATTCAGTGAAATCAAAATTATCCAACCAATAACAACTCAAGTTGCCCCAAATCAAATTTTACCCATTCCACATCCACCAAAGGCTACTGATATAAGATTCCAATGTAATACTAATGGAGCTGAGAGAAGAAGTTCCCTAACTTTAATCACCATTGATAATATGTGCAAAATCTGGATCGATGATGTCCTATTTTTAACATCCACTGATCGAACCACTCACGTAGGAGCAGGAATCCTACTTTCCCCAGTCAAATGGACATTTCAAATAAGACATATCACGGGCTGAAGTTGAAATCCATCCATTTTGAGGATATCAACAGGATTATCCAGTCCAGCCATCATTTGTCTTCAGTTAACCATATTGATCCGCTCCCCGACAACCAATAAAACCTATTATGGATCGTCCATTATTTTCGTATGTCTATTTTCCATTTATATCTATTGTCGGAAAAGAATCCACACTTATATTCGGAAGATCCGCCAAAGAGGAGGAAATTCCCAAGACCCAGTCGAAGACGTCCCAATGGCACCGTTAGGTCCCCATGGTCCGTTCTAAAGGGGGAGGAGTGATGTACCCCGTATAATATATTTTTTGTTGATAATGTAATGCTTAGATCATAATAATAAATGTTATGAAGCTTCCGTATCGCATAGAGATAAAAATAATACTAGAATCGGCTTTTTAAATGAATATATAAACTCTTTGCAAATCTTAACATTTCAATTGTAATATTGTCACGAAGTGAATAAAGCTTATTCTTACAAACAACATACTTTGAGTTAATTATTTGATAATTAATTTCACAAGTAAAACTCGCCGGTTCTGGCTTCGCTATCACCAAGATTTAATTTATCTAGGGCTTTCACGCAGCACAAACCAAATAAAGGTTTTAGGTTAGCTTCTGTTAAAAACACCGAAGCGGTGTTCGAGTGTACGGCTACCATAGAGCCGAACGGAGCGCTTCGTTCTGGAACGTAACGCTCTCTACAGTTCTACTAGGCCAGTCATTACAGCTTTTTTTCGGGAAAAAAATACTATTAGAAGTTTCTCTGCGGAATATTGTTCCGAAATGTGTTATAAACAAAATATCAAAAAATCAACTCGAGACTAGTTGGGAAACTTTGTTAAAACAATGGTCAAAATTATGGAAAAGTGGTTTTTCGACTGGCGTAAAAAAACTGTTATTCATAGAGAAAAAAAGGTTTATACAAAAAATGTAGGTATTAANTAACAAGGACAACTGATTTTTTTATAAAGCTGTATAGGGTGTTTTAAAAAGGTGCATACAGAGGCTGATAGAACTTTAAGTAAGACATTTTTTCCTATGAATCAGAGAAGGTGGTTATATCTTTATAAAATTCGATGATACAATTTTCGAGGATACTGAAAATCTTGTGAGTTACAGGTAGTCTAGTAGATGTTGCTAGCTGCTATTTTCCTCAGTGATATTTTAAGACAACTTTTTTGACATCAAATTGTCTGCATCATATTAGCAAAAAAAATTCTCTTAATAAAACTTTTAGTTAACCAATTTCTATTCCTAAATGTTGCTTTCTTATAGCTGTTTTACATGGAACATTTATTCATGAATAAATGCACCAAGTTCCTAATGAATTAATTCACGAATTTGTTTGTAAACGGTTTGATTTTACACTGCTACAGACTTTGTGAATTTCTTTGACACATGAATCAGCTCTACCAACAATCAAAGAAGCAAATTTCAAAAATGTCACCTTTCCACTCATAATTGTAGCGACACAACAGTGGTACCATTTTGACACATATTTTATAAATATTAGTTTTTGTAAGTAACAAATCAATAAAAACAATACAAAACTAGTACGACACCACACAATTATTTACATATTGCAATAACTTAATGTCAAGAACTTGAATAAATTCATGAGGTTATTTGACAGCAGATTTTGTGCATTACACTTGTCCAATTTCTTGATGAAGCGACTTCATGAATTAATTCATCAATAAATTGTCAATGTAAAACAGCTTTTAATAAATACATTCTATAAAAAGCCAATTTGCAAATTTCTTGAAAATAGACTCAATAATTTTACATTTAATGAATGAAAAAGGAATAAAAGTTCTGAAAATAAGGTTTATTTCTACTTTGATGGAATGTTCTTGGTGAAAGTGCAGTATTTGGAGATAAAAGCTGACTGACTTTTAAGTAAAGCATATTTTTTGTGTACAAAAGTAAATTCTTTCATGTCAGGCATCAAATTGTGAATATCTTACAAGTCATGTTGTTAGTAGTATTTTTTACATTTAATGAATGAAAAAGGAATAAAAGCTTTGAAAATAAGGTTTATGTCTACACTACATAGATATACATTTGATAAAAGTGTAGTATTTATCAATGGCGGCTTGTGACATTGAGAATAGGTGAAGCATTGACTGACTAAAAAGAAAAAAAAAAAGCGCCGCTGGCAAAAATTTTCAAATTCTCAATGTGAAACGGCTTTAAATGAATCTGAAAATTTTTAGTTGCATTTGTAATATTACCGAAAACCTGATGTTCGTGAGAAGGATTTTCATTTAGATTTTATAAAAAATAGAAATATTAGTTCGGCTTGTGAACTTCTGCGAATATTAACGCACACCGTACATGTTCCAAAAAAGCTTTGTGGTTACGACTGCCTCGCGTGACTCCCAAAATTGTTAAATCCCCCCTTATTCCACACCCCCGACTTTACACCCACAATTAAAGGCGGCATACGGAAAGGTTTTTTTAAATAAACACTTCCACACAACCACTTATACTCCGAATACCATTCATTCAGAAACTTTTGAACGTACACATTGTCTTTCGACTTGCCCTTTTTTAAAAAATCCTTTTTGTCCTCAATTTTCCATCTGGAAAATGGTGTTCCAATAAAATATATACTGGATCATACATAGGAAACATTTCTACAATTATTATACAAAACAAATATTAACTAACAGAAGAACAGTTATCGTGCACTGGGCGACGCGTATTGTATAAACTGTTTAAAGGCAGGCGATGGGCGATGACAATGCTGCTTCAATATCCGCGTCACTCGTTACCGCATGCCGTAATTTTCTCCCATGTTGGCCACCTCGTTGCCGTGACAACCACCGTAAACAACGCTTCGAAGAGAAGCGGAATTCAGACTGTTTCAATCTGCGTCACTTGCGTATACTAAACATACGGTACGAGGTTAATGTTTGCGCTCAACGAAGGCAATGTTTTTTTAGAAGGCGTTCCCCGCGCAATGATTCTGTTTATTTCTGCGTATTAAACAAACAAACACAATACATTTTCAATATAGAATTATACCTAAATTTAAAATTTATATAAAATTAAAAATAATTTTAAATTGCAAAACGAAATGGAAAATTTAGGTGAAGCGGTGCATCACTTGCGTCACCTGACGAGCCGCCACTAGTATTTATAGATTATACTAGTAAACGAAACTCAATAAGTGCATTTTCAGTAATTTTTACAAGGTTTTTATTTTTTTATAATTCTAAACCTGATCCAAAAATGGTTCTAAACGTCACTGAAACAATCGCAACTCAAAAACTTGCCAAACTGATGTATGGCAAATTTTAATGCAAGACATTGTATATTTGTGAAAGATGTGACTAAAATTTGGGTTTAACAAATCATTTTTTACGCCCCGTTTCTTAAAAACAAAAGATGATAGTCCATCGCCCATAGAAAAAAATTAGTCATTTTATCATCATTACTATAATATGTATATTTTTATAGGCGAAATCCTTGTTGCCGATGTTATTGATTCGGACAGTTGGCGACTGTGGCCCTCGGGCGACAAAAGACTGATGGTAGACAAACAGGTCTACAGAAATCTCTCCACAGTCACCGAAAAAGACTTGGATACGGTAAAACGTAACTTCGAATGGGTGGCCGACCAACTGGACCATCTGATACCCCCAAATGACCATCTCGTAGTGATCGTAATGGGAAGCCCTTCAGATAAAGAACACTGCCATAAAATTAAGAAATACTGCGAGGGATTGGGATTGAATGCGGAGATTAGAGTTACGTCGGCACACAAAACCACGCAGTACACTTTAGAAATTGTCAGTTATTACGAAGGGTTGAATTTACCAATTGTTTTCATAGCCGTCGCGGGCAGGTCGAACGGGTTAGGACCTGTTATTTCAGGTAACACTGATTTTCCAGTGATTAATTGCCCACCCGGACCTAAGGACGATCTTAGTCGAGACGTTTGGTCCAGTTTAAATGTGCCCTCTGGATTGGGCTGTACCACTGTGATTTACCCGGAAACGGCAGCTTTGGCCGCCGCACAGTCTATTGCGTTAACGAATTACATTGTTTGGAGCAAGCTGAGGGTCAGGAGATTGGGATTTTTCAGATCTCTAACGAAAGCAGATCAAGAAGCAAAGAACTAATTTTTCTATATGTCTACTGTTCTTATTTTTTATAAAATGTATTAAAAATATAAATTTTTTAAATGCTATTAATAATTATGATTTTTAAAAACGAATATTTTTTCTACACAATTTATTGATCGTTTTATTCAGATCGTATAGTTTATTAGAATAGATAATATAATTAGGGAACAAAGAATAGTAGTGTTTGGTGTCCCACAGGGTACAATTCTCGGACGCATGCTATTAGAATATATGTGAATGACCTTTTCCACTAACCAACTCCAACCAATCGGGAGATATTATTAGCACTGTGAATAACACAGTTATTTTTTATAAGGACTCTTGGTATTTCCTAAAACAAAAAGTTGAAAATTTTTAATGAATTTTGACTAAACTAAATTACTTTCCATTAATATTTCAAAAGCACATTTTATGCCATATACAAGCTATAAACAAAATATACTTAAATATAATTGTACTTTCAATAAATTTTTATGATACTTTTGAAATAGTCTGTAGACCAAGTTAAATATTTGGATGTTTATATGGACTGTCATCTAAGATGAAGGTTTCATACTGATCATGTCACGAAAAAGATATATTTTGCAAACATGAAAGATATGTGTGATATGAAACGAAAGTACACATTTTGTATTACGGGAATGTGCAATGTGCAATAACATGGTTTATTATTACGGTCAGGCGCTACAAATAAATAAGACCATAAGAAAACGTGCAAAATTAAAATTATGTATGGCATTACCTTTGTTAACTCCAACAGAGGAGATATACAGAATCTCCGTAAATGATTGTAAGCCACGTGACCGCCCAGCTTAGGCAACCCCACACTGACTGGTACTGGTAATGAAAAATCCCTAAATCTTAGCATCACCAACATTAATGGGTGCGTTCAGCCGGGCATTGTTGATGAGCGCTAAATAAAAGCGTATTGACTTTGCTTATATTTAGCACACAGAGAAGTTACTGAACGTCATTTTCAGCTTGCTGTTAAATGTCAGCCAGCCTAACCTAAAAAAATTTGAAATGTGTAACATCAACAGAATCGCAACGGAATTGGATGCAGTTTTGGTAGCTTTATTAGAAGATGAGATTAATTTGAATGCTATAGACAATGCGGTGGAGGCTGTTATGCCACCTTTAGTAATTATACCTCCTATGAATGAAACTCATAGGAATCCGGGATACTATGAATTTATTATACCGACATATAATGTAGACTATTTTCATGACCATTTTCGCATGACTAGAGGTATTTTTGAGGTAAGCAATAAATAGTAATATTACTACAGTAATATAGGCATGTAATAAATATATTTTATTTTCAGTTACTATTAAATAAGCTAAAGGAGGCTTTACCAAATGGAAATTATGGAGTGGTTGAATATGAAAAGAAGCTTCTCTTTACTATTTGGATACTAGTTAAACAAGAAAGTTTTTTATCGGCTGGTGACAGATTTAATTTAGCGAAAAGCACAGGTCATCAAATGTTTTTCGAAGTAGTTCAACATATAGCTGATTTACGAGGAGAAATAATAAAATGGCCAAACCGTCAGCAAAGATTAGATTTGTAGAAGGTTTCAAGAAAAATCAGGTAGAATGTAGTAATTGGTTAGAAAGTCTATTCAAGATTTTATTAAAAATATTTTGTAGGTATCCCTGGTATAGTTGGTGCTATTGATGGATGTCACATTTCTATAAAGGGTCCTCCAGGAAATGCAACAGATTATTATAAAAGGAATAATTATAACTCTATAATTTTACAAGCCACTTGCAATGATAAAAAAGAATTCATAGATATGTATATGTAGGAGCGCCAGGCCGTCTTCATGACGCTCGTATTTTTAGAATGAGTCCATTATTTGCATTGTTATCTGGAGACGATCCTCCGATATCAAAAAATGAGCACCTATTAGGAGATGCGGCTTATCCATTAGCATCATATCTTTTAAAACCTTATAGAGACAATGGCCATCTTACTGTAAATTTAAAGTATGGAGTTCAAATGCCATCGTTGAGTAATGAGTTATATCAGTGTACAAATATGCGTATCTGATTCTGGGGCCAAAAAATGTAGGCCCTGTTTCAAATATACACATGCAGTCACTTTTAATCACTGAACGTTTGCCGCTTAAACTCCATAGTATTTGAAGTACTTGGATCAGACTTCAATAAAGCTTTTTCTTGCGATGTAGAAGAAATGGAATTGGTATATGATTGTATATTTTGTACTAAACATTGTCTTTCTTGTGAGTTTCCTTCACAATCTAAAACTTCAGAATTATCTGTCTGTATCTTCTCATGTGGCAGGGAAGCCATGACAGTTCCTAAATGAACACTTTTATCAGTTTCAAAAATTTCACGAAATAAATCAAAATATTCCCACATCAGTTTGCCTCTACCCGTACGTTTTTTTACATTATTGTCTATAATATGTTTATACGTTGTTTTCATATTTCTAATTTTTTTATCTACAACAGATGAATTGACCAAATACCCATTTGACCGCATAACGTGCAATTTCTTCCCAAAGATCCTTTTTTTTATTTTGAGATTTCGGAATTTTTCATACCGTTTTTTAAATTCTTCAATTAACAAAAGAATACTCTGATGTTCCCATACAAAATCATCTACAAATCAAATACATATAATTATGTTATCCAGTTTATATTTACAGGCATAGCAAATTTGCAAAAATTAATTGGTATTTTATTTATATTTTATAGACATTAAACACGTAAATTGAATTATAAAAAGCAGTAGTATTATTAGTATTATTTTTGCAAATTCCTATTTAAAATTAATAAGTAACCCACTATTTGCATTTTCCAAATTATCATCTGACATGTTCTGATTCTGTGATTCTGTTGTACGATTTTCCAACTGATGTTCAAAATACTGTTGTGTTGTGCAAATGCAGGGTCTGCAAAATAATAGGTCAATTTAATATTAGCAAAATTTTATGTAATAGTATAGAAAATAATAATAATATTAAATTGTGGATCCACTTACCATTTCCCAACCTTACATGTGTTTCATTTGTTTCTTCTATAGTAAAAAATGTGTCGTTAAATAAATACTGGCATTCAAACATTTTAATTTTTTAGGTTAGTTTAGTTTGCTTTTATTAATCGTAAGCAACTTAGCGATAATGTATGATGAGTTGCTTACTAAGCATTTGCTTACATGATGCAACCAAGCAGTTCGATAATCTATGATAGGCAAAGCAACTCAGCCGCTTTGCATGGCTGAACGCACCCAATGGTATGTGTTGTGATAAGAATTTATGCATGTAGGTTTAAAAATAATAAAGATTGTTAAAGCCGATAAACGTCCGTTTACCAAGATAACACATGGTGTCAGGTATTAAAAAGAAAAAGAAAAAGTAATTAAAAGGGGGAAGAAAGTGGATGACAAGTTGTCTGAAAGATAAAAATAGATAACAAAAGGTGAGGTTAAAAGGAAAAGAAAAGAGAAGCGTGGTCAAAATGGAGCAAGAAATTCAAAATCGAATCTATTCGAATCGAACGATTTGCGAGCAGTAACTGATTCTAATTTTATTTGCCTTCGAAAGCGTTTCGAGTTGAAATGTCAAATTCACTCGACACTGGAATGTTGTCGAAAACGTTAAGTTCGGGAATCATAATCACAGATAACATATGATCATAACCTTAATTATTACTGGGCCGGTGGTTAGTCAACGAGTAAAATTAATCTGCTGTGTGTGTCAGTAAATTGGTTATAGTTAACACAGAATTCGGAGTTGGATTATTCCGTGGTTAAGAGTTTAAGAGGAAAATATCTAATTTTAAATTACACGAAGAACATTGGCTAATATTAGTTGAATACATGGAAAACCACCATGATTTTGCTTGCGGTCGATTGTCGTCAATTGAAGGCCGGGAATCACAGAGGAAACTGTGGACCGATCTAGTAAATAAATTAAACAGTTTAGGATATGGGTCACGCCCTATAGAAAAGTGGCAAAAGGTAAAGACGTGAACTTCTAATTCATTCCAGTGCATCATATGTATTCTTCTAGTGCTGGGCCGATTATAAATCTAATTTAAAGAAAAAAAGCAGCTCAAATTAAAAGCTCTCAAGAAAAAACAGGCGCAGGACCTGCCTTTGCAAGCAAGTTAAACTTTGTAGAATTAAGAGTTCTCAGCATAATGTGGAATAAAAGAATTAGGTGTAAGTAACAATTGTTAATAAGTAAACATTAGGAGTGATAGTTATATTTAATGGTGATGACTTTACATTTTCTTTATTTCAGTTGAAGGATAGTACAATGAAAATGGATATCACAAATCCACTGGATTCTGAATCAGAACTGATAACTCAAAATTCTATGGAAAAAGAAAACGTAGGGACAAGTATGAAACGAAATATTGATCTTAGTAAATAAAGAATTGTGAGATGCTTCTGGAAAGTTTGTATTTATGTTTAGGATCTTCATATCAGCGTCACAAATTATTTGGACATTCAAACTGTGGTAACCTTTACGATTTATAAAATTGTGGTCTTCTTGCTCAGGTCGCAATATTGCCACATAGGTACAATCAATGCAACCAAAAACGCCAGGAAATTCAAACTTTCCCATAAATGTTTATTTATTTGCTCTTCTATCTTGGGTGAATCTAATTTTTATTGCAGTTAGATGTTCATTGATCATATCTGCTACTTCATGAATAAATCTAACAAATTAATATATTATGTAAAAATATTTATATATATATATATATATATATCCGATAGATCTTTGATAAGATCCTGTTGCAAAAAATCTTAGTGCTGTAAGGATTTTTATGCTTGGATGCACCGCATTTTTATACCTACTTCTTTGAAAATGTGCTCTATTTCAGGGACACTTGCTTTATTCAATCTAAATATGCAATAAATCTCGTTTCTGGCAAATTAAAAGGGTTAGAATTATCTCTTAGCTTTCGCTCATTTCTTATTCTATGATTTTCTTCCAACCCCTCTCTTTTCACTAAAATTTTAAAAAATATCGGTAACATTATGTAATTACCCAGCAAACACACAAATTGCGGCACTTAATTGGCCCAGTGCTGTTATCGATGGCTTTTTGATGGCTCTGGCGAGCCATTTGTGGCCAAATGTATGTTATTTACTCGCTTACCATAAATCTGTACTGTTACGTATTGCCACGAAATGCCCAAATGTGGTCAATTACCATCTGACTATAAATAAGACAATTTCAGTTTATGCTATGATGGCCTTTTTATGCTACATTAAAGAAGATCATCTAACTTTTCAAGAGACGTATTTTTAAAAAGCAGGCATAATGGCACATGCCTGCCACTTGACCACGCCGACGCCGATTGCGAGTATTGCGACTGCCGAGTGTCGACCGACGCCATTTGCATTTTTTGTTTGTGAATAAGACGCAATAAGACTAATGGTGAAATTGTATTGTGTGAGTGCTGCAGAGTGCAGTTTCAGTATTTACGTTTGAGATTATGGAGAAATCAAAACAGTAAGTAGCTGTCGCTTAAATCTGTGAAATATGAAATATGGTTGAAATATTTGGGGTTAAAATAGTACACTGGGACAGTTTTGTAGAGGATAAATTACCTATGTTAACATGATACATCCATAGATAAAAAGGATACATCCTTAAACTGTTTCCTTGAAGATGTCTACGAGTATTTTGGTGTCCAATAGAAAACCGTCCCAGTGTTCTGTTGCTTGTACATATGATATTCATAAGGTTATGTTTCTTGCAAATAGGTCCTTCAAAAAACTTTCAAAAAGGCAAGAAAATAGAATTGTTAGACAGAAAGTTTGTAAATTTACTGCTAAAGCTAAAGCGGAGACTGGGAGTGATGGTGCTAGTTCTAGTGGTACTTCGGGGGGGTCTACTTCTGACAACCAAAAGGTAGTTAAAAATCAAATCACGCCATTCGCCTCTAAAAAACTTGACATCTCTAGCAAGACATCATCATTAAGCATAAATATTGAAGAACAAACGCCATTAATCCACGGTAATTATTACTGTGGGAATGAAAATGATAATATCTCCGTTGGAGATGTTGACGTTCCGGATATTTCATTTGAACAATGTAGCAAGGAAAAACAGTCACATGCAGAGTTTTTAGTTAATTGGAGTGTAAAAAATAACATCACCCATACAGCTTTATCAGGACTTTTAAAATGGTTACATACATCTCCAAATGGTTTATCAAATTTACCGTTAGATGCTCGAACTCTATTAAATACACCTAGAAATTTACCTACTGAAGTAATGGGTAATGGTGAATTTTATTACTTTGAATTAAAAAAACAACTAATTGGTACATACTTAAAAAATAATTTAACAATAGATACACTTGAATTAGACTTTAATATTGATGGGCTGCCTCTGTTTAAAAGTTCCTGCTTACAGTTCTGGCCCATATTGTGTAGAATTTTTATTTTAAATCGAAATATCGATCCTTTTCCAGCTGGCATATATCTTGGCAAAAGTAAACCGCCTTTGAATAATTTTCTGGAGCAGTTTGTCAATGAGTTAAAGTCTATTTGTTGTAATGGATTAAATTTCAACAGCCAA